GGGCGTTACACTGTGGGGGAGTATGAAAAGGAAAACAAGTGATGCCTAGACTAATAAACTTAGCTCTAAATACAGCATTGCAAAGGAACAAAAAAAAGTAAATACTAATATAGAATTTGTTTCCTTGGAAACAAAAGAACACTTAGTGGTTTGGGGAAAAACATATTTGCAGCACAATTTTCACATAACTGTGGCTCGAAGATAAAATTCTGACAATATAATTACAAATAACACTAGTGACGAATAAGCAGGGGCAGAAATACAGAGAATTTATAGTTTATGAAGTATTTATGTGCATTCGACTCAGTAGGTCAGACCACAAAGACTATGTACAAATGTTAAAAGGATGTGAATGGAAAGAATGCTAGTTGTTGCTTGACGAATGAAGCTGGAAGGACGCAAGGAGCAACACCTAAGAACATCAAAGGGGACTTTTAAATCTTGTTTTCGAGTGAGAATAAAAATATAAGAAAGCAGCAACTACTCTAGAACAAATCATTAAGTAGATGGCTTTGTGGGATATAGACAAAGATAAAACAGTAATTATCAGAACCAGTATGAGTTCCTTAAGAGTAAGTCTTGAAAATTTTACTCCTTGGAAGATTGATAACTTTTTTTTTTTACTTTTATTTATTTATTTGACAGGTAGAGTTATAGACAGTGAGACAGAGAGAAAGGTCTTCCTTTTTCCGTTGGTTCACCCCCCAAATGGCCACTATGGCCGGCGCTGCGCCAATCCAAAGCCAGGAGCCAGGTGCTTCCTCCTGGTCTCCCATGCGGGTGCAGGGCCCAAGCACTTGGGCCATCCTCCACTGCCCTCCTGGGCCACAGCAGAGAGCTAGACTGGAAGAGGAGCAACTGAGACTACAACCTGGCGCCCATATGGGATGCCGGCACTGTAAGGCGGAGGATTAACCAAGTGAGCCACGGCGCCGGCCTCAAAATTGCTAACTTTAAATTCTCTAATTCCACACACAAGTTAGCATTCCATGACCTTCCCTTTGAACAAAATATATGGTATGTAAAGCAATCATACTCAAAGCAAGGTATTAACTCTTTTCTATAAAATAAATGTATCACACTATTAGCATACACTTTTGTTCCAAAATTTGTAAAATCTAAGATCCTAGGGAATCAAGGCCACTGAATTATCATAGGAATACACCTTTGATTTTCTTGTAATAAATCTCATTATGAATTTAAATAAGGGTATAATCAAATTTAACCAATTTAGATGACAGGTGATGGTAGAAATAAAAAGGTTGAATGCCACGCTTAATTTTTTTAAGTAATTTCAGTTGGTTAGATCAATTCATTCTTTACTGTATTTCCAGGTTATAGCACTAAAACTTCCACACAGCAGACCTCAAACTATTCATTGAATTAATTAATTAATTAATGAGTCAAAACAAAGTGAAATGCATCAAAATAGATTAATTTGCTCAGATACAGAATAGACTCACACTGGTTTGATAACAATTTAGATAAATACCAGCCAGAAACAATTCATTATCAACTCAGGTTTTTTTTTAAAGATTTATTTACAGAGAGGCAGAGACAGAGAGAGAGGGAAACATCTCCCATCTGCTGGTTCACTCTCCACATGGCTGCAATGGCTAGAGCTGAGTTGATCCAAAGCCAGGAGCCTGGAGCTTCTTCCAGGTCCCCCACGCTGGTACAGGGGCCATCTTCTAATGCTTTCCCAGGCATAGCAGAGAGCTGGATCGGAAGTAGAGCAGCTGGGACTTGAACTGGTGCCCATATGGGATGCTGGCACTGCAGGCAGCGGTTTTACCTGCTACACACCTTACCAGCCCCAACCAACTCAATTTAAAAAAGGTCTAATTAACAGAAGTAAAATATCTGGTAAAATCAATCTTTCATAGACAACGTTTAAAATACTGAATTCCTTCAAGACTTCACTTTCTAAAACTGACATTGGCAAACTAGACTTCAACAACTGTATCCTGATTTAGTAGCCAGGAATTAGAGGTCTAGAAATCGAAATAGGAAATAATTGAAATATCTGGGATGTTTAATTAAGAAAAATAAAAGTTAGGGAGGGACATGCTTCAAATATTTGGTGGAGCTGTCAGAAAAAAAGATTTATAATCTTTCTGTGTATCACCCAGGGAAAGTCTATGGAAGCTACATAACAGATCTTGCTTTAGTGCAAAGCTAGGATTTCTGTTAGATCTGTCAAAATCCAGATTAGTCTACCATGCAAAGAAAGGAACACTTCATCACTTTAAGGGTCCAAGTAAAACCTAAATAATCTTTCAGGGATTTAGTAGAAAAACTGTTCCAATGTCAGGTAGGATATTAGCATGGATGATTTAAAGAGCTCTCCTGGCCTATGGCTCTACAATTCTATGACTCTTGAAGTCTTGCCTCCCTCTTCCACACTATCATAATTCCTCTTTTCATTGATTTACCTTCTCCCAGCTTAATGCTTGACCAGGTCTATCTTTGTTCTAGTTTCCATTATTCTTATTTGCTTATGAGGTAGTCCTTCAGCGATGGTTAATTTTATGTGTCAGTTTGGCCTAAGGGACACCCAGAGAGCTGGTAAGACATGATTTCTGATGTGTCTGCGAAGCTGCTTCCAGCACAGAATAGCATTTGAAGCAACAGACTAAATAAAGATGCTCATACTGACCACAGTTGGGCATCAGTCAATCCCTTGAGGGCCTTGAAGGAACAGAAAATTGGAGACATCCGATTTCGCCTGCCCTCTGACACCAGCACTAATGGTTCTCATGGCCTTTGAGTTTGAACTGAACCATACCACTGACTTTGCAGGCTCTCCAACTTGTATATGACACATCGTGGGACTCTTCAGTCTCCATAATCACAAGACAGGGTGTCAATCTCCTCTCCCACCCGCCCCAGGCTCTGCTTCCCTCTGGAGAACCCTGACTGATACACCTTTATATTTCTACAAGCTGATTTCTATTGCAATCATGGCAGAAAAAAATTGATTCCCTCTTAAGTCACAACTTCTTTGCTGTAACAGTTGATGGGTTTGACTGTGAAGAGGTATTATTGACTATGCCTCCTCTATACTTTCTTCTTCAATTACTTTCATCTTTTTCTATGGCTTTTTTTTTCTCTGCCTCCAAACATGAATTAATGGTTTCTTAAGGCACAGATGCTAACTGTAGGTTTTTACTAGCAACGTGGATGGGGCGGATTAAGATAATTTTTAAACCCTTAATTACAATAGGATAACATCAGTGATATAATTAACAACAGATATCTTTGTCGTTTCTCTATATGACAAATTGTAAATACAGATTTTGCTTAATATTACTTATTTGCAGTTGTTTAGTTTTATTTTCCTACTTAAGATGGGGAAAGTACTTCAAATAATATTTTTAAAAAGACTTACATTGGAGTAACTTTACAAGAGCACATTTTATAATATATTAGTGAACCCATCAATCAATATTACCTATGCAAGAATATTTTATTAACTCTCACATATAAAAATTAATCTGAGTATGGTCTCAGATACACCATCATTCCTTCCTACATCACCTACATATAAAATTCAACTTAAGTTTCTAGATACAACCAGAGCTACTAGAAAATTGTGTATAGAAAATGGAAGCTTCATTTCCCAAATCTACAAAAAGCTCATTACTCAAAGGAATGTCCCATGACTTATTAAATAGCTTCTTGGGCTTTTTTCTATAATTCTAGTCACAAACTATATTGCTTAAATCTCTTCTCTTTTATATCAGATACTGGCCAACTCTGAAATACAATCATTCAAATGCTTATTCCTGCTTAAAATGACTAAATGTGGAGTTGGAGTACATGATTGTTAGGTGGAGATAGCAGAGTTAAATTACATAATCTCAGGATATGAACAAAGGTTCATCCTTGTCAAAGGATGGACAATAAAACTTTCTACAAAGATGGAAATGTTTTATATACTCCTATGCAATAGCCACAAGCCACACGTGACTACTCAACACTTGAAATACAGCTTGGGCAAAGGAAGGTTAAATTTTCTATTTTATCTTAATTTAAATTTAAATATCCTCATGCAACTAGCGACTACCATATTAGAACAATCTAGTGTCTTGAAAATATAACTGTGAATTGTTCTTATAATCTTTTGTTTTAGGAATATATACAAATGTTAATATATATAAATAAATAAATACAAATAAACCATTAGGTTGATTATAAGTTATTATGGTGAAACCATGTCTGTCTTTTCCACCACTATACTCATGACATCTTAACAGAGAAAACCTTGATGTTCTTTGGAACCACAGTACATACTACCTTCAGGTTACTCTTTGACATCTAGTGTTGTACTTCTTGGTTCACCATCAGGCGTTGCTGTGTTGGCAGTATTTATTTATTTCAGATTTATTAATTTATTTATCTGAAAGGCAGAGTGAACAGAGAGATGGGAGAGACACAGAGATCTTCTATAAAGTGGTTCACCACCCAAAGGGTTGCAACAAACTCAAAGGCTGTAACCAGGATCCAGGAACTCCACCTGGTCTGTCACAGGGGTTGCAGGAGCCGCACACCTGGGCCATCTTCCGTGGCTTCCCAGGTGCACTAGCAGGAAGCTGGACAGAAAGCCAAATATCCCACAATGGCCTCAGCATCCAATAGATAGCAGCAAGGCTGCAAGCAAAGGCTTCACGGGCTGCACCACAACGCAGTTCCTTGGTGGCGGTATTTAGTGACAAGTTTTATTGACCGGATTCTCTGTGTAGTGTATTAAACCGAGAACTTTAATAATTAACTTGCGGCACTGAATTTGAATTACCCAGAACAACATACTTAGATGGGAGAGGAACTGAAATAATTCCCCTTTACCAAATCCAAAAAGATTTATGATTGAAAATGAATCATTTTTTTAAGCGAGGAGTGGGGAATAAGTAAAAGTTACTCTTTACAAATCTCAGTGTAGGAAGGCCGAAGTTTCCTCTTACTTACACATTTTGTTGATAGCCATGCACAATTCTTACCTTAACTTTATATTTCTTCATTACGGGATGGAGCTAATCTTCCCTGAAAGAGAGAGGAAAGGTTCCAGCATACTCATGAAGCAACTCCACAGACGACGATACACGTAGTACCTACTGCGTGCAAAAGCCACGAGTCATTACCTTCAGTAGCCTAACCCCACGTGTTCCCCCAAAAGGTACATTGCTCTGCGCACGTGTGAAAAACTAACTGGGTTCCCTCAGCCAGAAAGGAAGAGCGGATGCTAGCCGCAAGCTTCCCGCCCCGTCCCCACAAAACAAGTGGAGGACGAAAGAAAAGGCAAAGTAGTGCACTTGATTACCACTTCGTTGAAACATTAGGAATAATGCAACACTTCAGCAACTCAGAACTCTACTGCACCCTGCCCGCGGGCTCCCAGGGACCGGCAGTGGCGTTCACTTTGCCCAACGCGCGCCTCGCGTGCGGTGGGCGTGGACTGAGCCCTCCCCGCCCCCGCCAGGCTCACGCGTTTCGTATTTGAATCGGGGGCGGAGTTTCTTGTCCCTCAGCGCGGCCCGTTCCGTCTCGCCGCCTCGCCCGCCGCCGCGGCTGGGCTGACGTGTCTGCTGTTCGTCGGCGTCTCGGCGAGAACGGCAGAGATGGCGGACGCCTGGGAAGAGATCAGGCGGTTGGCGGCTGACTTCCAGCGCGCGCAGTTTGCCGAGGCCACGCAGAGGTGCCCGACCCTTCCTCTCCATTGTGGAACCCGATTGAGGCTCCTAGCGGACACGGGTGGATCTGGGAGCTTCGATCCCAGGCCCTGGCCTCTGGCTCCTCTCAGCCCGGCATCCCTGCCTCCTCCCTTCGCCCCGAGCCTGGATCGCAGTTCCGAGTCCAGGCCGCTTTGCGAAGCCCGGGATCCCCCGGGTCTCGGGTTGCTGCCGTTTGCTGACGCGCCTCACCGCGGGGTGGCCGAGACTGGTGAATCCGGGCTGTCAGATCTCTGCTCACCCACACGCCACACGTCACTGTGGCATCCTTACCTACATAACGCTTCCTGACTCAGGATAAGCTTGAGCGAGTGACCCCAAATACAGTACTATGCAAATACTATATTGACCCTTTAAAAATTTGTGTCTGCCCTGACAGATCTAGATCTAGGCCAGACCCATGACGCCATCTGTCATTTTTTAGGGCTTCTGGGGCCCTGACATGGTTGTACAAACCCATTCATTGGGGGAAGTGTTCAGATCACCATGACTCTCTTCTTTGACATTACAGAGCATACAGAAAGAACCCCTTTTATTTGTTAATTGTTTCCTGCCTGTGTTTATTCCCTTTGAAGCTGTATTTTGTATTACTGAGGGCTACAAAAAATATTTTAAAAACTAAGGCACAATAAGTGCATGAGTAGTAACTAAGAGTGGCCATAAGCCAAGTCTCCTGCCTGCCTAAAGACCAAGTGAATAACTGAGGCAATTCTGCTCTTCACTTAAAGGGAACTCTGGCTAAAGTGGGAAGTAGGGCTGGATTTTTTTTTTCTACCTGAATTATGTGTCCTCAACTTTCTATTCAGATTTGAAGACTGGAAGTAGGCCTAGAAGAGAGCAAACTTGACGTCTGTACTAGAATGATGTATGCTAGTCAAGTAAATGCTTTACATGTATGTCAACCTGCTTATTGAGATATTTTTTCAGGTATGAAATCAGTGTTGTTACACTAATGGAAGGTACACATTTTGTAACTCAAGTTAGTGACTTTATGCGAACTTCTGTAAAACCAGTTTTCATACAAGTGCTAATTTTGTTATGCACCAATATATCAAATGCACTTTTTAAACTTTTTTTTCCTTCAGATTGTCAGAACGGAACTGCATTGAGATTGTGAATAAACTGATTGCTCAGAAACAGCTAGACGTAGTTCACACACTCGATGGGAAGGAATACATTACTCCAGCCCAGATCAGTAAGGAAATGAGAGATGAGCTGCATGTTCGAGGTGGTAAGTCATTTCTTAGTGTTTTTTTTCTAGATTTTTGAAAGAAAAAAAGTACTTTCAAAACATAACTAAATAAATTGTTTATAAGATACCTTTCTCATTTATTCACTTGCTTATGAGCTTAATCAGCTTTAATATATTTTACTAGGTTCATGAAAACATGATCATATAATTTAAGTGAATTAAAATATTACCACTTCACAGAATAGTACTTTTGTTACGATTTTGAGTTATTTATACTGTATGTAAATTAAATAGTCATCTTTTCACAATTTTTTAATTTATTGCATAACTTAGGAGAGTGTTCCCAACTGCCTTTTATAAGGTGGTAATTATGAGGATGATAAAAGATTTGGAAGGATTATAGAGTTTCAAGAATCAGGGCTTTATTACCTACTATGCTTTTTGAAAAAAAAATTACACGTATGTAGGTATAAGTTAGGTAACTCAATGTAACAATGTTATATCTGTCACGTGTATGAAATGCTATTTCAAGCACACAAAAATTTCCTTTGTCTTTTAAAAAAAACTTGAACAAACTATTAAGGAAATTTTTACGCAAAATAGAATCAATTATGAAAGTAACTCTTACTGATATGTCATCTGTATATAGTTTTGGTGTTGGTTGTAATATTTATCTTCCTACATAGTACTAATAAAATATGAGCTATAATTTGGAAAACTTAACAGATTGTCTTTTGTTGATAGGTAAAAAGCCTTCCTTTCAATTTCAAATAAATGAAACACTCAAATGAAAAATTCCATCTTACTTTATTTGAATATACTGTGAGTTGTACCTCCATAAGTTTAGCCAATTTGTGCATCAGTTGTTGTACTTAAGTAGCCTGAGGTGATAAAAGCAACTTTGAAAATAAATTATTTCCTGTGGCTTTAGCCGTGAAGACTTCCTCAGTTATGGTTCATATTTGAACACATTAATTCTTGTGGTTCTGCGTCCATTATAGAAGGACTTTGATTGTCCAAAACTTGAATCTGTCAGAATTTATAGTTTTTGACTGGTCTGTGGGTACACATAATTTAAAATAAATTTTCTTTTCTTTAAAGGTCGAGTAAACATTGTTGATCTACAACAGGTAAATCTTAAATGTATGAAATTTTTGCTTTGATTTCTCAATCTTTTGGTACTATGAATTTGTTTAATGATTAAAAAGTGTCCACTAATCCCAGTAGCATAATGGTTGTGAAGAAATAATTATGTAATCCTCACTGATATATTGGATTGATTTAATAAGCTCTAATGTACTGAATTAATGCTCCTTTCAAAGTTGATTTGCTTATTCTTTATTCTTTACCAAATAAACTCATAGTTTCCATTTTATATAATTGCAGGCTTATTTTAACTTTTTGTGAAAAATCACTAGTGTTTCCTGTTTACATGTTTTTAGTATGTAGGAGTAATAGAGAAATATTACAAAAGTAGAGGATGTATAAAAATTATATAAGTACATATATCAACACCAAACTACACTAGATATAATAACCTGGCAAATCTTGTGTGAAATGATGTCTGTTAAATAAAAATGTAATTTTCTGCTTAATAAAAGTGTTCTTAACAAGTGAGAGCATAATTCTACGAAATTGAAAATAAGCCTTAAATTTCCTATTTGAGGCTTTTACAGTATTTCAGATAAATTCAAAAAATCATGTAAGAACAAATAATTTTTTAAGAAACTATAGTTCTATACATGTAATTTCAAACTTAAGAAATAATACAACCTCACCACTAATGTAACTTGTGTTTATTTTCCAGGTAATTAACGTGGACCTGACTCATATTGAAAATAGAATTAGTGACATTATCAAATCAGAAAAGCATGTTCAGCTAGTATTGGGACAACTGATAGATGAGTAAGTAAATTTTTTAAGGATTTATTTATTTTGGTGAAAGAGTTACAGAGATCAAGGGAGAGACAAAGGGGGAGAGGGAGGTCTTCCATCTGCTGATTTACTCCTCAGATGGCTGCTGCAACAGCAGGCGTTGAGCCAGACCAAAGCAAGCAGCTTCATCTGGGTCTCCCACGTGAGTCCCAGGGGCCTGAGTACTTGGGCCATTCTCTGCTGCTTGTCCCAAGCACCTTAGCAGGGAGCTGGATTGGAAGGTGAGCAGCTGGGACATGAACCAGAATCCATGTGGGATGCCAGAATCACAAGCTGTGATTTTAAAATATTTAGAGCACTACTTTGTTGTGTTTTTTTCACTTCAGCAATATTTAAATTTAGGTCAGTTGTAGTTAGTTAGGCATTTCATTTAGAATTCTTACAGAACTGACATTTATAAGGATCAGTCTACTTAAAAAGTAAGCAATTGTGTGGAAAAGTTAGAAATACTACAAATATAAATTATACTCCTATTAGCTTAAGGCAGTACAAAACTTTTTTTTAAAGAAAGATTTATATATTTATTTATATGAAAGGCAGAGTGACAGAGAGATTGGGGGGTGGGGGAGAAAGAGAAACAGAGAAAGGAAGACTGACCTACCATCCTCTGGTTTACTCCCCAAATGCCCACAATAGCCAGAGCTAACTAAGCCAGGCCAGAGCCAGGAGCCAGGAACTCCATCCAGGTCTTCCTGGATTGGTTGCAGGGGGACTTAAGTACCTGGACCATCACCTTGCACATGGATTAGCAGGAAGCTGGATCAGAGGCAGAATAGCAGGAACTTTAGCCATTCACTAATAGTGGATGGAGGTGTCCCAGGTAGTGAATTGATCTGCTACACCACACATGTATCCCAACTTTTATAATCTTTCTTATGTTATCTTAACTCTGAAAGCAAGCATGTTCGAAAAAGTATTAATGACTGCAAAATTTCTATTCACTAAGAAAAAAAATTATAATAATTTTAAATTATAAATAATAATTTATAATCCATTGATTAGGAAAAAATGACTTTTAGAATATTAATTATGAGTTATATTTACCTACACATACCATATTTGTTACTTTGGAGGCATATTTTAACAGAAATTAAAAGAAATAAAGGAAATAAAGAAAAAACATTATTCCTAATTGGATTTTTTCATTCTTTTTTCTTTTTTTTTTTTTCACTATTAGGAACTATTTGGATCGATTAGCAGAGGAGGTAAATGATAAGTTGCAAGAAAGTGGTCAGGTGACCATATCAGAATTGTGTAAGACCTATGATCTACCTGGAAACTTTCTGACACAGGTATGTTTTTTAATAGTATAATCTATACTTTTAATGAGGAATTTGAACCATTTTTGGGAAAAAAAAGAGACTTTCTAAACCATCAGTGGATTTACTGCTGCAAAAGTCTGACTTAATATATAGGTAGCAGTGTATTTTGGGGGTACGTCCTATGCATTGATGACACTGAGGAGTTCATTTAAAAATGATTACAATGCAATCTTTCTGAACCAATGAGTACTCAAAAAATAGTTAGTAGACTGAGCTCTAGAGCTGACTTGATGTAATAATATACTATAAGTATATATACTATATGTGATAATATACTATCAATGCATGGATGCAT